GCCGGCAGGGTGAGAAGTGACTTAGCCATGACATGCAGAGAGCACACGTACCCAGCCCCTCCAGCTCCTGCACCACCTCCTTCCATACGGGTTCGATGTGGATGCAGCTGAAGCACCAGTCGGAGGTGATCTTGATGAGGTAGGGTTTGCGGAAGCTGTCTGGGACCACATCGTTGATGTAGTGGGAGAACTGGAGGAGATACTTCTCGTCGGAGGAGTCTCGTCGCTCAGAGTTGAAGGGGAAATGGAAGAAGGACTCGTCAAAGTAGAAGCTGTCGTGGAAGTGTCGGAAATGGTGGTGGTGCTGCTGCTGGGCGTACCCCTGATTTTCTCCCAAGTCTCCATAGCGGTCGTAGTTCGTTCTCTTCTCCTCGTTGGACAGAATCTGGAAAGATTATTCAATGCAATCGTTATGAATCTATGAGAGTGACAGAGCGCGTGTACATTCTGTAAAAGGTGAAGTTTAATCGGCTCATATTTTGCTCTCCGATTCCTCCCCTCCCCCCATCAGCATTCCAATTATATTATTATATAAAAGCCGTTTTTAATGCTGGCAGCTTATGGCTGAGGGAAGAAGGACGGAGGTCAGAAGGACGGAGGTCAGACAGGAGGAGTGGAGGGAAGAAGGACGGAGGTCAGACAGGAGGAGTGGAGGGAAGAAGGACGGAGGTCAGACAGGAGGAGTGGAGGGAAGAAGGACGGAGGTCAGACAGGAGGAGTGGAGGGAAGAAGGACGGAGGTCAGACAGGAGGAGTGGAGGAGAGGTCCTACCTCATAAGCTTTGCTGACTTGGATGAATTTGTCCTCTGCACCCGGGTTCTTGTTCTTATCTGGATGCCTGAAACAAGAAACATTTGTAGTTATACATTACAGAACATGTAACATGTCACAGAGGCTGTCAAATGGGTGTATTTGGGTAGCGGGGGCCCCCTCCGCCGGCTGTCTCTCGGCACTCGCTCACCATTCCCGGGCCAGCTTCTTGTACGCCTTTTTAATGTCGGCTTGACTGGCGGTCCGGCTCACGCCCAGTATCCGGTACGGATCGAAATCGGCGGCCGATAAGATCATCAGGGCGAGGATGAAGAATACCAGGAGCCGCAAGAGAAGGCGCAATTTCCTGTGGCCCATATCTCACGTCGTCTCACTAATACCTGGAGAGATAAAAGGAATCTGAAGAAGAAGCAACGACATCCAAACTGAATCTGTATTGTACGCCGGGAATGTTACATTGAAGTTTAGAAAGCCCAAAACTTTATTATTCATTTTGGACAGAACATGGGATGGATGTTTGTGTTCCAATGGGGAGAGTTCCCCTTACTTCCTTTCCCAGGAACGCAACCGGAAGCGAGAGGAAATCCCAGGAAGAGGGAAACTCCCCCTCTAAGACCCTACACCCCATAATGACAGAAACCCAATGACCCCCTCAGAGCTGATCTCCTACACCCCCATAATGACAGAGACCTCCAGAGCTGATCTCCTACACCCCATAATGACAGAGACCTCCAGAGCTGATCTCCTACACCCCACAGTGACCCCCCAGGGCTGATCTTCTACACCCCACAATGACAGAGAGACCAC